CCCCCCCCCCAATATGATCAAGAATGGTAAGATGAGTGTGTTTTAGTGGGTAACTAAGAGAGACTTTGTATAATTCTAAGAAACAAATAATAATTTTGTTTTTTTGATTTTAAAGAGTTTTAAAGTTCTTGCAAAACATCCCAATAAAGAGTTACATGGGGTTTTATGAAGGGACTAGTTATAACTCGTACCTGGATAAAACGTAAAATTTGAGTCCCAAAAAATTGATTCAATTATATTAAATAAAATTTTTTCTTTCCTTTCTTTTTTTTTATTATGTCATTTAAAATTAATTTTTATCTATTATTTTCTTAAAAATATCGACAAGTTTTTTTCAAAATATTAATTTGACAATATTTTTTCAATATGTGTATACTATAGTATATGGACAATGTCCGTAATAAAAATTGTATTAAATTAAATTAATTGAACATATAATAGAAATGGATGATGTAATATTTTGGAAGAGGGAAAAGTAAGTAAGGGATAAATATTCAAGTTGCTAATTGATGTTTTCTGCAAGGAAAAAACAGTCTCAAACCTATTTATTATTCAATGGTTATAGGCACAGATACAAGACACATGGCTTGGTTCTTAGATCAGAATTTATATAATTCTGGCATCAACCACCACTGTTTTAATAAGAGTAAGAATTGAAAAAATGAGCAAGATTTTATATTGGTTAGGTCTCTTGTCTAGTGCTTCCAATTTCCAAATACATTTTCTTTTCTTTTCTTTTTTTTAATTAAAGATAAATACAGAATTAAGTATAAAAATTCAACTACTTACTCAACTTCAAAGCATAGCACAAAAACCCATGAAGGCCAATAGGTCAAATTCTAAACATCACCTCTAAAAGAGTTTAAATAGGTGAGAACTTATGGATTGAGAGTTTTATTATTTCAAAAATTGCCCCAATTGTATACTATTTGAACTGATGACAATAATTTAGATCTTGAGTTTTATATGACCAAGCAAGATGTGTAGAATTAGATTTCATCGATTCTTCACTAATTGGTTCATTCTATCAAATTGTTTCTGGTGGATTGAAATTTCACATCAAATTTCTTGTCAAATAATACAATACAATCATAAGTATTCAATGTTAATGAGATTTGATGACATCTACTAATATAAAACTTTACATAAATTTGGAAAGTTGGTGACTGTAATATTGCTAATGAAAATTTGAAAAATCAAGTCCACATATGGGTCATCCACCCCTAACTGCCTATCAGGGATAAAAAAAACAAAAAATGGTGGATGAGAGAGAGAGAGAGGATGACAAAAGGAGTACAAGAGGCATTTAAAGGCTTTAAAGGGGGTTGTTAGCAATTACAAAAAGAGCAGCAAACAACTGGCTGTTGGCCTGTTGCACTGACCTGTGACACATGATTTGTCCATGGAAAAAGATAATGCTAGAAACAAGGGAAAAAAGTAAAGGCAGGTTGCAAGGTAATTAAAGGCTTGGAAAGCAAAACCAGTCAAGCAGTGCC